CGAACACTCTACGCTTGTTTTCTTGCTCAGAGAGAAGCTTTTTTGCTCAGAAGACTGCTGATACTTTATTATCTTATCAGGGACTCTCTCTTACTTTTTCTTTCCTAAGCTCCTCATCCTAAAGTAAGGCAGAAGAGGTAAAAAAAAAAAAAAAAATTGAGTCTGTTTTGTACTTAACAGCTGTAGTCGTAAGCTAACTTACACATATATAATAGTCATTTCTCAGTCTTCCATTTTAAGTAAACTTTCAGCAACACTTTAACATTGTTAGCTAAGCTTACAATGATGATGTAAAAGGAAGGTTCTGGAGCATCTGCATATTTTAATTTATAAAATGTTCCCAGTTTTGCTAAGTGGGAATTCTTTTTTTAAACTTATTTATTTTTTTAGTACTCTCTACACCCAACGTGGGGCTCGAACTCGTGATCCTGAGATTAAGAGTCCCTGAGCCAGCCAGGCACCTGGAGTGGGAAATTTTTGAAAACTAAAGAGTGGCTTCAAAATCAGGAAGAATGATTTAGTTTGTAAAAGGCAAACAACAAAAGGTGGAAGGTCAGTCCTTGGCATTGTATTATCTGGAGACCTATTCAGGATTTGGGGGCCTAGGCTTCTTTCACTTAAGTGTTTTTTTTTCCTGTGTGTCAATTATATGCCAGGCCTTGAGGATACATAGTGAAAAGGCATGTGGGTTCCACACTGGGGTGGAGCCTGCTTAAGATTCTCTCCCTCTCCCTGTGCCCCTCCCCCCAAATAAGTTAATTTAAAAGCAAACTAATTAATTAAAAGCAAACCTGGAAGGAAAAAAATTCAATATTAAAACAGACAAAATAGGGGTGCCTGGGAGGCTCAGTCAGTTAAGCCTCTGACTCTTGAATTTTGGCTCAGGTTGGTGAGATCGAGCCCTGCATCAGGCTCTGCTCTGACAACTTGGAGCTTGTTTGGAGTTTTTTCCGCTCTGCCCTTCCTCCCCGCCCCCCCCAAGCTGACACACATGTATGCACACAAACATGCATGCTCTCTCTCAAAATAAATAAACATTTAAAACAAAACAAAAAAACCAACAAAACAAAGTGAAAGGCATCATCCAGGCCCCCAAAATGCTTTATCTAGTTGGAAGAGATTGAGTATGTAGATACCACTAATGGAGGTATGTAAAAAGAGCATAGTGGACCAAATATTCAATACCTGGGGGAAGTAGGAAAGACTTCATAGAAGTCGTTCTTAGTGAAGATAAGAGAAAAGGTTAGGTAGCCCAGAAGGAGGGCAAGCTGAGTAAACTATGGTTCTTGACTTTGGAAACCCAAGAAAGAATGCTTTGGGGGAAGAGTCCAGCAAAGAACAAAGTGAAAGCTTAAGACTGCAGTGAACAGTAATGGAAGATGAGCCTGAATTGGTGCAGGCAGACCACTCAGAGTCTTCGCTTCCGCTCTGGAATATTACCACTTAGTACATGTACTATTGTGATTGATTGTGAAGTAAAGCATCTCTTAAATGACGCATGTTGCTTTTTATTTTTTTTTTTTAATTTTTAATGTTTTATTTCTAGGAAAGAGAGAGAGACAGCGCGAGCAGGGAAGGGTGAGAGAGAGAGGGAGACACCGACTCTGAAACAGGCTCCAGGCCCTGAGCTGACAGTCAGCACAGAGCCCGACGCGGGGCCCGAACCCACAAACCGTGAGATCATGACCTAAGCGAAAGTCGGACGCCCAACCGACTAAGCCACCCAGGCGCCCCTGCATGTTGCTTTTTAAACAGTCACTAGGAGTTATTGAAATGATTTCACAAATGGTTATGTAGACAGACATTGGCATGCATGGGATTTGAGAAACCTTTAAATAAGTTTTTCATTTAAAAACATTTAGTTTTGTAAAAAATAAAAATTATTTTAGTTTGGTTTAAAGAAATTTTGTTCAGGTTTTCACAGATGAATTGGACAATGGATCATGCCCATTTGTTCTCTTTTTAAAATTTTTTAATTTTAGAGACCAAGCAGGGTACAGGGGGAGAGAGACATTCTTAAGCAGGCTCCATGCTCAGTGCGCAGCCCGACATGGGGCTCAGACCCACGACCCTGGGATCATGACCTGAGCTGAAACCAAGAGTTCTATGTTCAACCTACTGAGCCACCCAGGTGCCCGCCATTTTTTCTCCACCAGTAAACGAGCATATGTCGAAGACATCTCTCACTAGCCAGGTTGGGAATTCTGTCTGGTCCCGAAGAAGCAAAAAGAGTATTGTGAAAAGAATGAAGGCTCTTGAATTTCTGTGTCTAAATCTATACCTTTTTCTCAGTACCTAGGATAAAATCAAACCCTAGTTCCCATTTCAAGCACAGACCAGATTAGAATCATGGGGAAAAACACAAGCTTTGGAAGTAAAAGTAAAAACCATCATAATTTAGCTGAAGTACGTGAGCCTCAGTTTTCTCATTTGCAAAAGGGGATGGCAATTGAAATTAACTGAAAGGATTAAGTTAGAGAATATATATATATAGTGTATACATGAAATGTTCAGAGGACTGCTCTCTGATGTTAGTTCCTCCCCCACCCCCTCAGCAAGTTTAGGTGTGGTCTTCCCATGAATACGCTAAACAGCTGTTAGAATCTCCACAGCTTGGTTTACAAAGATGACTAATGCAGTTTCTAACGTCCAGGAAGTTTCTTCCCTTCTGGAAGTTTGTTCTCTTCCAGTTTCATCCCTTAGTGTTTCTTAAACTCTGGCTTAGGGACTAATCACTTGAAAGAACTAGTTAAAAATGGATAGTCTCAAGCCCACCCCAGAGAATCTGATTGATTAATCTGAGATGGAGACAAGGAATCCACATTTAAAAGAATTTTATTTATTTTGAGAGAACAAGAGAGAGCTTGCACATGCCTGTGTGCACACAAGGGACAGGTGGGCAGAGAGGGAGAGAAAGAAAATCCCAAGTACCCTTCATGATCAGCAAGGAGCCTGACACGGAGATCAAGACCGGAGCCGAAATCAAGAGTCCGAGGTTCCACCAACTGAGCCACCCAGGCGCCCCCAAATCCACCTCTTTAAACAAGGCAGTCGAAAGGATTTGGATAGAGTCTGTCTGATACTATATTTTGAGAAACCTTGATCTAGGGAGAGATGCTATTAATTGTAATGTAGTGCGAGGTTTTATATAAAGGTATGCAAGAGGATAATGCTACTTGACCTGTCATGGAAGTTGGGGCAGGAATTTTTTTCAGGAGCTAGAAGAGAATACAAAAGTGTTTTTAAGAAATTGTATATATACTCATATATACATACATAAAAGGTTATAGTAGGCATGCTTTATTTGTTTCAAAATCTATAGAAGACTTTTCGTGGGACCCTTCTGGGTTGTGTGTGTACTAGCTTTGTGACCTTGGGCCAGTTATTTCCCAGCCTAAATTTCTAATAAAATACATAACATCTTAATACTACTATCTTCCTCATGAGAAGGACACGAGGGATGGGAAAGCCTAACTGACCTTAGGCACCTAACCCCGTAGGCCTTCAACAGTCACTTCACCTTACTCAGGCCCTATCCAGAGCGGCAGAGGCCTGTTTTAGGGGGATCCAGACTTTAAAACATGACAACGCATCACGAAGTGAACTGTAGATAATGAAGTGACAACATTTAAGTGCTCGAGAGTGACCTCCGTGTCATTGCCAAGTCACCCAGGCCGCCTCCACCGAAACCAGGAAAAAGGAGAGGTAGGATGGAAGGCCAGAAATTCAGGAGCCTTAGGAAAAATTTCCTGTAACTTTATGGTTACAAAAGCAGGAACTCTTTATGCTTAGATGGTAATTTAGAATGAAGGGGAAAAAAAGGAAGTGGCTTATAGGGCACAGACTGTAGGTGGTTCTCCAATGCACTTCGCCTCTGACCAGCTCTCGGAAAGTTAAGCCCACATAAATTAAGTAGTTAGCGTCTTTATCGGGGAGAAGTTAACAAAATGGCGTTTGTTGGCGTCTCACAGCCCTTGTGAACTGTCAGCTCAGTATTAACTGTGTGAGCGCGTCACCAGATTTCGTCGCGCCCGCACCCACAGGCTTACACCCACATTCAGAGGCATCCGCCCACCCCGGGAAGGCGCAGACTTGAGAGGTACTTTTAAGAGCGGTCAAGTGAAGACTCAAACGAGCCCTGGTGGCGAGGCAAAGCTGAGCACCGAACGTCTTGGCCCTGACACTTGTTGAACAGAAGGGCTCCACTGAAGCGTGCCACCTAATCACTGTAAAGACGTCCCCTGAGGAGGGCCAAAATGGCGACGGACTCCTCTTGGCACAGCCCTGCTCCCTCCCCCATGTCGGAGGTTCTCGCAACGCCCATTGGCCGAGTTGGAGGCGGTGCCTGGCTTCCTTCGCCGCCTCATTGGACTGAGTGACTGAGGGAGAGGCCAACTCTCCTCTGCCCACTCCAAAATCCCGCCCTCAGAGTTCACTCGGCGTTTAATTGGCTTTCCGTTGACGTCAATTTGCGTCCTATCGTGTCTTTTTTCAGTGTTAATCCAATCATAACTTTCCTGGCTGCCCGCCTGATTTCTGATTGGTTTTGATCAGCTTCATCCTATCCCATTTCTGCCTACTTCTTACCACCTCCCACCAGAGACTTTGCCCAGGCACGTCCAGGATTCTGGTTGGTCGCTGTTCTGTCATTCCAATCAGAGCTCTTCCTATCCCTACCTCTCCGAGAGCCCGCCTGGCGGTTGACTGGTTTCTTTCCAAGCCTATCATCACTAGCTCCCGCCCACTCTCACTTCCTGCGTCTTTCATTGGCTTTTAAAACTGAGAGGGCGGCCTCCTTGGGCGGACACCCGGCACGCAACTTTGTCTTACACGCCTTGGAAAGCAAGCGAATCTTCCTATTGGACAACGTGCCCGTCCTTCTTCTTCAAGTCCCTCCTTTCTCCCTCCCTCATTGGGCGGGGCAGCAGTGAAGGGGCGGGGCCGAGGCCGGGCTTGTGGCGCGCTGCTCCCTCCTCCTTACCCCCCCCCTCCCTGTCCGGTCCGGGTTCGCTTGCCTCGTCAGCGTCCGCGTTTTTCCTGGCCCCCCCCAACCCCCCCGGACAGGACCCCCTTGAGCTCGTCCCTCAGCTGCCACCATGAGCGGTAAGGATGAGTCCACTCCACGCTTAGGGGTGGGAGGGGAGTGAGGGGGCGCGCGCGAGGGCCGACCAGGCGGTCCCCGCCGTGAGGGGGGGCGGGCGGGAGGCGGCGGCGGCGGCCTTGGTCCCGCCCGGGGCGGAGGGAAGGGAGGGAGAAGGGGCAGTGGCGGGGCCTGCGAGAAAGAGGGGGATGGGCCGCCCGCCCCGGGGGAGGGGGCAGCGTGGCCTCGCCCGCCCCCTGCCCGCCCCGGCCACGGGGGACGGGCCTTACCCCCCACTATTCGGCAGCCCGCCTGAGGCTCCTCCCGCCGGGGGCTGGAGTCGCGGGGGCGGCCCGAACAGTGCAGGCCCCGCCCGGGCCAACCGCCTCCCTGGTCCGCCCTCTGGTCGCCGCCTGCCCCAAGGCCCTCCCCTCCCCCCGTAGATTTCCCCTCCCCCCCACCGTCCCGCCCTTTCCACGCCCCTCACCCCGAAACCGCCCTTTCCTTCTAGGGCCCGCCCTCTGTCTGCCCTGAAACCTCCAGATTCTTAACCCCTGGACCCCTTTAGCACCCTTAGCAATACTCACCAGTGTTTCCCCACTCAGCTTTTTATTCTTTTCCCCTTATCCCTCTTCTATTGTTGCTTTTTACACTTGAATTTTCTTTCTCCATATCCTTCGACCCTAATTTTAGCAAGATTTCCATCCACCCACATGTTGTGTTTTGCCTTACCTATCCTTTTTTTCCCGGGGATACTTTTTTATATTTTGAAACTGTTTGAACATGTCCACCACTCCTCATATTTCCTATGCCAGAAGCACATTTTCAATGTTTTCGAAGTTTAATTTTGTGCAAGGGGGAATTGAGGCCCAATTTTAGCATTACCCAGCCTAGTTTATGTTCTGTATGTCCTACAACTGTCCCTTATCCAGTCCACTTTTTTTTTTTTTTTACATTAGTGCTTTTCACCTTACTTTCTGTTTTATCATAGCGTTCTTTACCCCTTCCTCATCTTACCTTTTTCCTTCCCCCAACTTTAAGTTGTTTATCTCTTAATTCTTTTTAGACCAAGATCACTCCATGGATGAAATGACAGCTGTGGTGAAGATTGAAAAAGGAGTTGGTGGAAATAACGGGGGCAATGGTAATGGTGGTGGTGCCTTTTCTCAGGCTCGAAGCAGCAGCACAGGCAGCAGCAGCAGTGGAGGAGGAGGAGGGCAGGTAAGTGATAATCAGGACAGACGGGAGGAATGTTAAGAGAATGTAAATTTTCTTAGAATATTATCTTTTGGCAGAAACATTTTTAGGAAGGGGCTAAGCCATTTTGTAGCTAGGGAAGTTAGTGTAATGAGGCTGATGATTGGGAGATCCCCAAAGATGAGGATTTCAGCAGTATAGATGGGTCAACTTTTTGTTTCTGGTTCCCCCAACCCCCCACCCCCCATTGTCTGCACTGTTTTGCTGTTTGTTTTATACTGCCCCCTGGGCCGGCAGCTGGGTGTCACTGAACTAATTCCTTTCCTTTCCGGCCAGGAATCCCAGCCATCCCCTTTGGCTCTGCTGGCAGCAACTTGCAGCAGAATTGAGTCACCCAATGAAAACAGCAACAACTCCCAGGGCCCAAGCCAGTCAGGGGGCACAGGTGAACTTGACCTCACAGCCACACAACTCTCACAGGGTGCCAATGGCTGGCAGATCATCTCTTCCTCCTCTGGGGCTACCCCTACCTCAAAGGAACAGAGTGGCAGCAGTACCAATGGCAGCAATGGCAGTGAGTCTTCCAAGAATCGCACAGTCTCTGGTGGGCAGTATGTTGTGGCTGCCACATCCAACTTACAGAACCAGCAAGTGCTGACAGGATTACCTGGAGTGATGCCTAATATTCAGTATCAAGTAATCCCACAGTTCCAGACCGTTGATGGGCAACAGCTGCAATTTGCTGCCACTGGGGCCCAAGTGCAGCAGGATGGTTCTGGTCAAATACAGATCATACCAGGTGCAAACCAACAGATCATCACAAATCGAGGAAGTGGAGGCAACATCATTGCTGCTATGCCAAATCTACTCCAGCAGGCTGTCCCCCTTCAAGGCCTGGCTAATAATGTACTCTCAGGACAGACTCAGTATGTGACCAATGTACCAGTGGCCCTAAATGGGAATATCACTTTGCTACCTGTCAACAGCGTTTCTGCAGCTACCTTGACTCCTAGCTCTCAGGCAGTCACTATCAGCAGCTCTGGGTCCCAGGAGAGTGGCTCACAGCCCGCCACCTCAGGGACTGCCATCAGTTCTGCCAGTTTGGTATCATCACAAGCCAGTTCCAGCTCCTTTTTCACCAATGCCAATAGCTACTCAACAACTACTACCACCAGCAACATGGGAATTATGAACTTTACCACCAGCGGATCAGCAGGGACCAACTCTCAAGGGCAGACATCCCAGAGGGTCAGTGGGCTACAGGGGTCTGATACTCTAAACATCCAGCAGAACCAGACATCTGGAGGCTCTCTGCAAGCAAGTCAGCAAAAAGAGGGAGAGCAGAACCAGCAGACACAGCAGCAGCAACAAATTCTTATCCAGCCTCAGCTTGTTCAAGGGGGACAGGCTCTCCAGGCCCTCCAAGCAGCACCATTGTCAGGGCAGACCTTTACAACTCAAGCTATCTCCCAGGAAACCCTCCAGAATCTCCAGCTTCAGGCTGTTCCAAACTCTGGCCCCATCATCATCCGGACACCAACAGTGGGGCCCAATGGACAGGTCAGTTGGCAGACTCTTCAGCTGCAGAATCTCCAAGTACAGAACCCACAGGCCCAGACAATCACCTTGGCCCCAATGCAGGGCGTCTCCTTGGGGCAGACCAGCAGCAGCAATACCACCCTTACACCCATTGCCTCAGCTGCCTCCATCCCTACCGGCACCGTCACTGTGAATGCTGCTCAGCTCTCCTCCATGCCTGGCCTCCAGACCATTAACCTCAGTGCATTGGGTGCTTCAGGAATCCAGGTGCACCAGCTTCCAAGCCTGCCATTGGCTATAGCAAATGCCCCAGGTAAGGCCTCCGGTCTTCTACATTAATTTCCAGAGCTGGCTAGCATCTTAGCTGCAACTGTTGGGTCTAAGAAAGGAAATAGAGACTTTCGCGGGTAACAGTTTCTTGAGGGCAAGTTGATTAGAGAAATAGCAATGATTCTGTTTAAGTCATTGGAACCGACTTAACGGAAACTTTTTTTCAGTTAACCTTATGAGAAAGGAACACTTCTGGGCAGTGTCCCTGGGATCACTGTGCTTCCCAGTGCCTTTGGTGCTACAGAACAAGGGTCGGCAAACTTTTCTGTTAAAGGGCCAGGTAGAAAATATTTTAGGGCTTATGGGACACATAGTATTCTTTTTGTTTTTTGTTTTGTTTTTGCAGCTTTTTAAAAACATAAAACCATTCTTACCTCAAGGGTTTTATTTGACCTACTGGCCCACTACTTTGTAAGATAAGAATGGATTATAAACTTGATCTCTTTGTATGACGGTTATTAAATAACATATTTCTTATGAACTGTAATTCTAAGTGAGGGAAAAGGGATGGTAGTGGATTTCAGAAGAATTTTCAATGAAGTGAATTCCATGGTTAATATTTAGTTAACTAGAGTATCCTATTTTCTGAGTAAGCTGGTTAAAGTTTAATTTTTAAACTCTTGGTTTCCCTCAAAGTGGAATCTGTCTGCCTCCCCTTACACTAATGTATATTTTCAAAAGCTTGCTGGGTGATTCTGGTACTTCCTAGATGAGAGAACCGTTTCCTAGACTGCTTTGAAAGTAATGTATGGTTGAGAAGGGAGGGGAGAGAAAGGGAGCATGGCCTGGAATGGAGTGGGGAGGTGGAGTTGAGAGAAGTCAGGAATAAGGAGAGCATTGAAGGGAAAAAGCCCTCAGGGAAGAGGTACGTATTGGAATGTATGTTGAATCAGTTGACCACAATATTCAATTATTCATTTTGAACAGTGTTTAACTGTTGGTTAATTTGAAATTTGAAACATGTCCGTTTAAAAAAGTGAAAGTCTGTTTAGAGTTTTGTCATTTTAAGTTCTGTGGCGATAGAGCTAATCTTTAATAAAGTACAAGAAGAGGATACTATAGATTTTTATATTTTGGCGTGATATATAAAAATTATGATGGAAAGTAGTTTAATATCACCAGACTTCTAGTTCTGTTGGAATATATATGGGTTTATGAATTGTTTACTTTTATTAGAATTCTCATTTCAGTTTTTAAAAAGTTTCATTTAAGTAATCTCTACACCCCATGTGGGGCTTGAACTTATGACCCTGAGACCAAGAGTTGAACGCTCTTCTGACTGATCAGCCAGGTGCCCCAAGTTCTCATTTCACTTATACTGGTTCTTACATAAAAGAGGATAACAAACAGACAACCGTATTGCCTGTCTCCTGGAGTTTTGGAAAATGGTGGTGGTGGTGGGGGAGATCTGTTCAACTTCCCTAACTTTTTTTTACATTCCTGAGGTTATTTAAAATGACTACATTTTGAGCCTTAACAGGAAACAGTTTTCTTAATGAATTGGAGATCTTGGAATAGAAAATTAGAGCTGGAAGGGACCTAAGAGATCCTCTAGTACAACTGCCTTATTTTCTAGATGAGGACGTTGAGGTCTGAAGAAGCAGATAAGTGGTGAGGCTACAGCCAGGGCTAGGCTAGGGCTTGTGGTTAGTTCTAGTCTAAGGCACTACCTGTTTTAATTTAGGACAGGAGAAATCCTTTAGATTGTTAAAAATGTTTCAGAAAATATGTCTTTGCTTCTTTGAAATGTAATGTTCTAGGGTTGGCCAAGTGTTTCATAGGCTAAAAATTAGGATAGTAGAAATGGGAAAAGTTAATGAAAACTAAATTCAGCAACCTGGAAAATTAGATACTTGCTGGATAACCTTTACTAATGTGCTTGTTTTCTCTCTGCTCTTAGTTTTTTGCATCCAGCAGTTTTGCCCTTCGTTAAAAGGAAAGCAAAGCTGGGGGATTATTCCAGTTAGTAATAATTTGGATCCTCGCAATTTTTAAACGGTTTATAACTTAGGCTCTCAAGAACAGTTATGAGGTACTCTCGTTGCTAAATCATGCTCTGGGGAAGCCTGCCATTTAATATGTCATAGGATAGGGCTACCTAGCTATTATTGATGGTCTCTGAGGCCAAGAAAATGCATGCCTTTCTGTAAAGTAGCAGCAGCTTGACATTTCACTAATGAGAGAATGAGTCTCTGAAAGGCCATTTTGTGAGCGTTGGGGTTGATTGCTTCATTAATAGTGGTTTCTGAAAAGTTTCCTACTTTCTGGTTAGTCTTCTGCAACATTTTCCCCCCTTCAGTTGATCTAACTTTATCCTTAATGAAAGATAATAAAATCGTTTTCTAGAAGCGGTAACGCTGTTCAGCTGTTGCCTGGCTGCTAAAAATGTCTCCTTTTACCCCCTTACTGGTATATAGAAATTTTACTGGGAAAACTCAATCTCTTGGCAGTATAGTGTGGTAGAAAGAGCACTGACTGTGAAGTCCTGTTGTAGGGGATAGGTGGATAGATACATAGCATTCTACAGAGTGAGACATTATTACATGGTTGTAGAAGCCTGCAGCCTCCGTGGTGTTCACTTCGTTTACTTTTATTATTTTTAAAAATCATCTTTTAGAAATCATTTAAGATCTCCTGTTGACTTTCAATGTTTATTTCTGTTTGCTGAATACACAGGCAAAGGCACAAACTTAGAACCAAAGTAAGCCAGCCGTCTCAATATCCTGTGTTTTTTATGGCTCAGCCCCTGGTAGGTGGTAGTGAGGAAAGGACCACCCAGTAAACTAAGTTTAGTTTCTAGACAGTGAAATGATCTATGGGCTCTGAGGGGTTTTGTTGTTGTTGTTTTAATTTATCTGCAGCTTGTTTTGTTGTTGTCTTTGAAATCAACACCCTTTTTCATTTATCAGCACACTTTCCTTTCATTTTGTAGTTATACTCTCAACAGATCTTGTTTTTTTCCAGTTTAAAACTTCAGGTTTTTTCTCAGACACTACTATGTTCTGAAAACTCTTTTACCAGGTTGAGGGGCGGGGCAGGGGGACAGCTTTGAAAGACAGTTTGTATGACTTCGTGGGAGTTCTGCCTAATAAAGAGTTCAGGGCTAGTCCTTGGCAGGAGAATAGAACATATTTCCTTGATGGCTATAATTCACTCAGGCAAATTTCAGGCACTAAAAATAAAAATTTCACATCTGCTTGGTTTTATCGGGGTCAGGAAAATGTCTTCTCTTAGAAGTTAAGTTAAATGTGATACCAGAGTTAGTTTGCCAGCAGTGTCGCTAAACTTGCGGTCAGATTGCTGAGACCTAATTTGTTAAAAAGTTGCTTTTCAGACTAGGGTATTTGAACAATATGATAAGTGGGTTTAGCTGACTTGAATGTGTTCAAAATTTTTCTAGGGGAAAAGATTACATAAGTTTCTTTTTTAAAATAATATATTTTATCAAATATAATATCAAATGTTCCTGCTTCATTTGCCTTTATCTAATGTTCTGTTTGTTTCTGAAGGTGATGTTAGTGCTTTTAAGTGATTTCAATTTAAGTAGAAAAGGTCTCTTAAAATCTAGGTGCCTTCATTGATTTGAAAAGAATGAGAAGACAGTCCTCAGACCTTGTCAGTTGCTCCTATTTATTCATTCCAGTGGCTTTCTGTGAATGACGTCATCGTTAAATCATGTTGCATTGTGTAATGTGGCCTTTTTAGTTCTTAATTAAATAACAAGAGCACAAGGGTGCCTAGTGTTTCAGAAGAGTTTAGTATCTATTCTGTTCTCATATCTCCCTTTCCTTTTAACTGTTCCACTTTGTAACGTAGCATGTAAATGTTGCCACTAATAATTTAGTTTTTCTCATTCCTTGCTTCTAATTGTTTTGTTTTCTCTCCTTGAAAATGTTGTAAGATGAAAAATGAACATCTGTGGAAAAGCTCTATTACATAATGCCTTGGTCACTTTAGAGTTGGTTGCAAATTTGGGCTGTAACTTGAATTGTACTTTTGCCTCAGTGTTTTTAATTTTTTTAATGTTTTATTTATTTCTGAGAGAGAGAGAGAGAGAGGCAGGCAGTGAGCAGGAGAGGGTCAGAGAGGGAGAGGGAGATACAGAATCCAAAGCAGGCTCCAGGCTCTGAGCTAGCTGTCAGCACAGAGCCAGTACGCGGCTCGAACCCACGAACCTCACGAACTGAACCTCACGAACTGAACTATGAGATCATGACCTGAGCTGAAGTTGGAAGCTTAACTGACTGAGCCACCCAGGGGCCCCGCCTCAGTGTTTTTAAAACTCTGAATGGCTTATGGAAATCGGGCAGTATTACTTGTTTGGCAACTTTGAATGTGCTTTTCTAATTTACTGTAAATCTTTCTAACCGTGTGTCTGTGTACAAAATAATAACAATTTTGAAGGAGTTAAAATATAAAATCCCTACGTGAAGACAAAGACTTTACCGTTAAGTGATGAGAGAACTAAGTTAAAAATCTATACATCTTTGAAAACAAAAAATTATTTTTTTAGGAAAACAGATTTGATGCAAATAATCTAAAAGAGGTTAAACGTGGAGTTTTTCAAATACATTCAATATGTTCTTCCTTAAATTGACTTAAAACATTTTTTTTTTTTAACATTTCTTTATTTTTGAGAGACAGAGCACAAGTTGGGGAGGGCCAGAGAGAGAAGGAGACACAGAATTGGAAGCAGGCTCCAGGGTCCGAGCTGTCAGCACAGAGCCTGATGAGGAGCTCGAACTCACAAACTGTGAGATCATGACCTGAGCTCAACTGACTTGGTCAGATGCTTAACCGACTAAGCCACCCAGGCGTCCGTGAATTGACCTTTTTTGATGGATTAAAAGTTACAGCTCTTTGCAAACATAATACAATTAAGCCAGACTATCAGTGATAATAGCAACTAAACTGAAGATTCCTAGAGCTGAAAACCCTCAACCCTTCCAAGTACCCCCATTTTGACAGAAGTTAAGGAGTAGA